ACAGTAGAACTGTCTTGACATTCTCATTGAAGATTCTCACTTTGATGTTGGTTGACGGTAGTTTTAAATTTCATATGTTCTTTAACTGTAGGAGTGCTGTCCTTACTTTGTCAATCCTCACCTTCACGTCTGCGTTGGGTCCTCCTTGTTCATGGACGATGTTGTCGAGGTACGTGAGAGATTGCACATCTTGTAGAGCTTTTCCATAGAATGTGGTTGAGTTGGTGTTTTCTGTGTTGTATTTGAGGATGTTGATTTTTCCTTTGTGTATGTTGAGGTCTACCGATGCAGAGGCTTCTGCTACACTGACTATCTTCAGTGATATTTGTTGGTGTGTATGGGATGGAAGAGCTAGGTTATCTTCCAAGTCCAAATCATCTAGCTGTATCCAACGTGTTCATAATGTTTCGTACTTTTCCTGAGATGTGTATGTGATCATAATTCAGTCAACCACCAGGGGGGAAAAGAAGGAGCTGAGTAAGCAACATCGTTTGAATCTGGTCCTCATTTCGAAAGCGTATGTTAGCTGTTCATCATGCCCGACTTTACAGAGTAGCCGTCGTACGTATTACATATGACGTTGACGATCTTCTCAGGTGCTCCATAGAGTCGAAGAAGTTTCCATGATGTTCACCTATCTACACTGTCAGATGCTTTCTCGTAGTCACGGAAATTAATGTATAGTGACGGGTTCCATTCAAATGACTGCTCAAAATTGATCCGTGGTCTCACGATTCGATCTGTGAACGACTGATCCTTACGGAATCCAGCCTGTTGATCTCGAAGTTAGGCGTCTACTGAATCTTTCATCCTGTTCAGCAACACTCTGTTGGAATCCTTTCCTAGTTTTGATAGTAGTATAATGCCTCTTTATTTCTCACGTTTGCTCATATCTCCTTTCCTTGGTATCTTGAAGGAGTATCCTTCTTTCCACTCTGATGGAACATGTTCTTCCTCCTAAATCTTCTTTAATAGAACGTAGAGCGTGTTTGCAGTTACATTTACATCTGACTTCAGTGCCTCAGCTAGTATCTTGTCACGTCTTGCTGCTTTCTCATTTGTGATTTGTCTGATGGCCATCCTGATTTCTTCGATCGTTGATGGGTGATAGCTGCCGGAAGGTCTTAATGTGCTGCTTCGATATCCAGTGGTTTCAGTTGTGCTGGTCTATTCAAGAGTTCTTCATAGTGCTCTACCCACCTGTTCCACTGTTCTTGAATAGCAGTGCCTAGCCTGCCTATTTTTTTCTTGACAGGTCATTCTAGTTCACCATATTTCTCTGCCAGCTTCTTCGTTATATCATATAGTTATAAGTAAATTCACTGGGAAATCATTATTGACATATATTATGTGTTTACCATATACAACACCGGGATTCAGTGTAATTTTTGATTATATTGTAATAACAAGCAATTGATTTGAAAGGAACTAATTCTTGGCAAGCTGCTTGTGATTTGACTTACTATTCAATAACCGATTCATAATTACGACGAAATGATTATGAAGATTGTTCATTTTGTAGCATATACTGATGTTAGTTAAATAACTGTCATCAAATTGAACAATTATGAAAGACCTCTCGTCCTGATAATGAATGTTATGCTTACTAGTAATTAACATTGAGTAGAATCCTCAAATTTCAAGTAAGACGTGATTGGTGGAATTTCAGATTGTCCATAGTATGACACAAACCACCAAGATTAATGGATGTTGATCACGAATAAATTTACCATTCTTGATACTGACATTAAGTCTGCAGTTTTGTAGATTACAATATTTATCAGTTGGATAGAGAGATTAGTTTCCCCACAGATTGATATCAGTTGGATAACAAATGACAGTAAAGCTAACACTGAACAGTTATTTCGACCTAGTATAGAAATATGGTAATGATCTTGCGATTGGATTGTAAACAAATTCTAAACACATCTTTAGAACACAAAAGTTATTGACATTTTTAAGACCTATGTTCTATCTTACTTGAGACTCCTCAGTTGAATTTATCCGTATACCAGTTATAATATTTACTCTAAAATTAAAACCTAACGCTTTAAACATCCGAGTAATATCTACTTAGCTATCCAGTTTTGGTAGTCCATAAATTTCTATAAAAGTATGATATTTATCACTATTATTTGTAAGAGTTTACATTTTTCTAGTTTTGATTCCCGTGAATTATTATGAACAATATTTGTTGGTGTATAAACTCTTGTGGACTGAAACACTCAATATTATCCGTAATTACAAGTTGATTTGGTTGGTAATAGTAGGATTAAGAATAAGTCCCTAAATTTGGCTAAATACACACCATAGAAGATTCTTCCCCAATTAATATCCATAGAAATTAAAATTACCATGTAATTCATAAGACACATAGTGAGTTATCTATTAAAATAGTTCGTATTACCAAAAAATTAACCGGCCCGATTAAGCCATGAATACTAACAAAAAATAAAAACTATTCACACTAATAATCATGTATTTAGTATCACTTAGACCAGATTAAAGCTTTAAAGATTATTTAGACATACACAATTCGGTAACAATGACGTAGAGTAATAACAATAAACACATGACTAACATTATTGAAAATTTGAGGGGCGAGGAATTTGAAAAAGGTTACCAAGCCAAATTCACTTTATCAATAATAACATGTAAACAATGAGAATTGAATTAGTAAGAATAAATAAGTAGAACACCAATTATGGCATTATCGTATTTAATGAAGTTCACATAATTTTCTTATGGGAATAAAGACTGACAAGTGAAACACTTAAATAATTATTAATACAATTATGTAGTTAGTAATTTTTTATACCCAAAGTAGTTAATAAATGATCTATATTAAAGTGTAACTGATGTAATAACTTCGTAGTGTGATTTATTGTATATTGATCCATTGAGTGCGTTGGTAAAAAATTCCTAACTTTGGTAACTTAAAAATAAATGAAATTTAATAGTGTATAAAAAAGTTAATTTAAAAGATAACGAAAAATTGCGTGAATATTCACCACACTCATGGTGCAACAAACCGATATCTGAGTTAAACATATGCAGTCATAAAATGAGAATAAAAGGAAAACAATTACAAGGAGTTTGGCTGATAACAAACCTTATTATTATTTATTTGAACACGTAAATATTGGTACAAAAGGCACCGAAAACATATGCGCCACACAAGTCTCTTGTGCGTGAACTGTGATACTGCCCAGGTGCCCAAACCGAAGCAGGTAGTTTTCTTAGGGGGTCACATTCTAAGCTTTTGACCTGAAGGTCTAATCCACAAGGCAGTGCGGCAACTTTAGGAGATTCAGTGCCATGGTATCCAGTGACCAATAATAGGTTCATACGTCATTTGTTTCCTTAGGATCCTGAAAGTCATTGGGACTATTGGTTTGGAATCAGGGTTCCCCAACTCCCCTAGGTTTATCCTCCGTATCTACCAACCCGATTAAGGTGCTGGACATTCGCTTTTCATCCTCTCAATTTCGTAAGCAGTAATGCCGCGAGAAGGCAGTGAGTAGGACTTACCTGATAGTGTCTATATACGCGTGGTCATGTGAGAGCATTTCGAGAGGGAGGGTTAACTCTCCCCATTCTCAGTCGTACCAGGGCATTTGGGGGCAAGGAAAAAGCCAACTAGATTGGATGATCATAATGTGCTAGTTGACTCCAGTTTTTAGAGATGATGATTCAGTTAAGCTAGTGGGAATGACTGGGCAATTATTTGGACAACAGTAACCATAGGCCTAGCGATCTCGATTGCTTACTACTTATCTAAATAAGAGACTAATATTTTTGCCTATCAGACGTAGAGACAAATTGATGAATACTGTCTTCAAACCCTTACGTTCCCCATGAATACGACGTTAAACTGAGGTCCAACAATACCGGACCTCAAGAGATCAGTCAGACTTCAGGTTATGTAGATAATTGCATCAACAGGATCTATGACAAATACTGACACGAATGCACGTCAAACGGCTTGGATTCTCTTTTCCCTGAATAACGATCTTAAATGAGGACTAATAGCAATTCCCTCCATGTTGGATTATCCTGTTCTAATGCACTTCGTTTGAAAGTTTTTTTGCTAACTTTTCCTTTATCCCTAATTTCCCTCTTCCATATAAATCTGGTTTTTTAAATCCTTATCTATTTGATTTTATACAATCGTATACTTTCTAATTACTTGTTTAGATCAACTGGTAATTCCTCGGACAGACTACGTAATATAAGATATAGGGACAAAATAGTTTACAGAATATTTATTATTATATGGTTTTGAATCTAATAGTCTCAAGTTATAATTATTTGAACAATAATAACTGGTTAGATAATGATCTCTCTACGGTGTGCAGTAATGTGATACTCAGTAAGAGTAATAACAAAGACAGTCTTGGTGCATAATGCACATTATATATATATATATATATCATTTCATGAAATTGATATGTGGTATTCAAAGCAGTATATGATTGGTCGTTGAGTGTGGACAAACAGACAGCTTACTAACCATTAAATATGTGGTGTCCTTTCCTGTTATTGATTTTCACTTTGGACTCACTGAATGTGACTGCTTGTAATTGTATTGAATGAAGTATTATGTAGTGTTAATCTGGTTCTCTATTCTAGGTTGTGAATCCTGGTTCTGATACAACGTGACTAGTTTTATTATCGTATTATATATCAGTGTGATGAAAATATTTTAAACCATCCGTCATGTCAAAAACATCGAGTTAACACAGTGGATAAATGAGTATGCTACTTAATATTTATCAAGTAATCTTGAATAATTTTACGTTAAAATTCTGTGGTGTATTAGTAACAATGAGAACAAATCAAACGACAACAACCTATTTTGACTTATCTATTATTAGATACAAGAAAAATGTAAAAAATCTTTAGTCTGATTATATTGCAATAATATAACTAAGACAAGTGACAAATTAGTGATAAAAATCTTCAATAGGATTTCAAAAGCAAAAGAAAACTAATTAAAAGACGATTGCAATTATTTTCCTGTTTTATATTTACATAAATTTCAATCTGGGAAATATTTTGTACATACACATACATACATGAAATCATTGAAGGTATGACTGTACACATAAAATTCTATTGATTTCTTATTGATAAAATGTGTATTTTATTTAACAAGCCAACTTTTGAAGTAGTTCAAAACAATTTGTTCCGGCATAATGAACTATTCGACCAGTAACTAAACTTGCTGAAGGAGAAATTAAATTGTCCATAGAATCTACACAATAGTAAAAAGTAAAATAATAGAATGGATGTAATAAAATGGAATAAATTATAAATTCAAACAGATTTAGAATGATAGTTTTTGTAGGATACACTTAATTTACTGTAATTTCCGACTTTGTTTTCTTGTAAAAAAGCAAACTATAAACAAATCATTATGTAAATAAACTACAAAAGAGAAATAAAAGTTTGATATCATGAAAATTAGTTGAGAATGCCCAGGTGCCAAACTGTGAGAGAAAATGATGCATATTTAAAACCTACGTTCAACGTCGATTCGCTTAAGACAGCAGTTTTAGCTTGTTGACGATTGCCAACTAAAATGGAACCTAGATCCAGCGTTTTTTTGTAGATTACTTTTAACAACCTAACAAAAATGCTGGTTTTCATCAACAACAAGAATTTATTCATGGGCTATCGTTGAAAATTGTCTTAAATGACACTATTATATATGTAAGATTTCAACTGGAATTGTGATGCGATAAAGTAATAAAAAAGAGATACTATTAGTTTTCTTAAGAGTACTTAAATACTATATTTGTGAGTCGATATATGACAACTGACAATTGGCACTTTGGATCGGTGGAACGAATCAGAGAAATTGTATCATACATGCTGTAGATAATGTTGTCTAGGAATAAATAAATTACTGTGTTTACTCACTGATGAGTCTAGAAAATTTAGTTTTTTTTAAAAAGATCATCACTCTGTATAAAGTAAAATACGGTTTGGTAAAATCTTTAATGATACGAAACTGTGGTAACTCATTTCATATACGTTATAGAAAATATTTTATTTATATGACATTAAAAACGCATATAGAGATAATGATTGGGAGTTTTGATGGAAAACACACATGATACGTAGTTACGTTTCCAGCAATCTTTTTCCAACTTCAACATAGTGACTAACTATAGTAGGAGGTGATATCTTCAGAAATTCCTGTGAAAACTGGTTTTTTATAACATGCCTTTAAAATTGAGATCAGTTAATCAGTTATAAACAACACAGAACCTGATACATATACATCGGTTCGAATGGCCAAACCATATCAGGAAAAACATGCATTTCACTCTCTTAATTCACTTGAATTAAGACATTTTTGCACAGAAAATTGTTAAACAAGCTGGTTCTTGCTTTAATCAGTTACTATTTCGAAATAGGGAAATGTAATCAACGCACTATTTCAATTAGATTGCGAGCATAATGAATTCAAAATCGAAATTCTATAAAATTATGATCAACATTGGTAAGAAAAACTACTATGACAGTTACACATACATAAATACATACAAATAAAATAGTATAGAACTACCATTTTGTAATGAATTTTTTAAAACATTTGCAACAGTCTCGAAGGTCATTTGCTGAAGCAGTGATGGATGTGAACTCATTGAACGTCTATTAAAAGCCTGATAAACGCCAAATTTTGTAAGATAATCACTAATTAGTGATAAATGCCGTGAATTCACATGAATCCCATAATGACCAAAGACTCCAGATACTTCCTAAGAGTAAAATAGTAACAATAACATAGTTATGAGTCTTCACTAGTGTTTAAATTTTCAATTACATGAAACAATTAAATTTGTGCATGTGCTAAAGCTCAATACTTAATCTGTTCGCCGAGTACTATCTGTTTTATTCGGCTTTAAACCATACACATGTTAATTGTATGGTAGTTAATAGTATCATCTGGTTATTTAAACAGAAGTAGGTAGAAAGACGGATTCGAACCTGAGGTTTAGTAATTGAAAGACAAATGGTTTGTGATGTATGGGCGAGTGATAATGATTGGTTATCTGCTTAGTCAGACATTTAGATAGTCTTACAGGTGTCAGATGAATTGTATATTCCCTTATCCTTATTATTATTACTCAGTTATTGTTCCGATAATGCAATGAGGAGACGAAGTTTATCAGTTTACATAATTCTGATAAACTTCGTCTTCTCACTGCGTTATCGAGACTTATCAAAGTGACTAGTTGTTTTAAATCAGTTATTATTGATTGTTCATTGTTGTTGGGTTGTGTCGGTTTTTGGTGTGGATATATATTTACGTTGTGGTCAGGATAATCACGTGTTCTAGATCTGAGTTGTGTTGAAGTCCTGTAGAATAGACACAGAGTGAATCTAGTGTAGATATTCGTCTAAGGCAAATTAACGTCCCATACATGTAAACGTGGAAACCCAATCGTTATAACATTAGACGAAGTAAAACCGAGCGTTATAACAGTTTGGTTTAACAACCAAAAACCATTACTTCAACATTTGAAAAAAGAACACTAGCTGATCTTAAAAAGTGACCGGGTAACATATCATAAAAAAGATTTCATAACAGATATATAAAAAGTGCACAAATATTTACAATCACATAAATTAGAACATTACACATTGTTTTTCTTATTGGGAAAAGTTGATAAAAATAGTAATAGTAATGATAATACAACACGTACTCTTTGAAGTGCTGCCCGAGCAGCTTCAATACCGTATGTTTCATTCATTACAGTGATGTTGTTAGTATAGAGTCGACTCAAATCAAACACTTGTGGATAACGCATCATCTCCTGCATATACAATTTGAGAGAGAAAGGTGGAATATGGATAAAAACACGTAACAATTCATTAAGTTATTGACCATATCTTATGTGTGATCACAAAGCCAGTTCAATGAAACTTTCCTACATTCTGAAGAGAATTGAATGATATACAATTTTCAAGCACATTTCATAGTTGAATAGCCTTTTGTAATTTTTTTTTGGCAGAAAGATGTTGCTATGATGACAATGTGTGAGATTTGAGCAGAAAACATCAAATACGTGTTTCAACATAAAATCAACCAACTTACAGTTCGAAAGATTTGTAGATCCTCTTTAGTATATTCACAATAATCAACTGATTATTACTGATTTCGGTGGAGTTTTGTTCTCTGAGCTGGATGGATTATTACTGATTTTCAAGAGCACGGTTAAATTAATAACTGAATGGATTCTTTTTTAAGATCAGCAATGAAAATGGCTTATTTCCATGAAGAAATTTCACACACGAAGAAGAAAGAACGCCAATCATAATCATTACTGATGTCAGTTTAAAAAGCAAAGCTGCTTAGTTTAAGAAACTAGCTGTAAGAAAGATAGCAACAACCGGTATAACAGAGCAGAGTAATATTTAGATATTTTCCCAGTTATCATTTTTAGTTTATTTGTTGTTCCAAATTACTTGTAAGCAGTATATGAAGAAGTATTAAAGTGACAGCGTACTGTAAAACAAATTGATGTTAATTTACCTGATGTTTCAAAGTGTATAAGAACGGTTCACTAGCCTAACCGGTAGCCATAAATGTTTACAAATCTAATAAGAATTTTATGGAACTTACAATCATGTTTATACCTTCAACTCGGAACATCCATTGATTTGGTTTTGAACGATCAATAATGGTCTTTTCGATACCGGATACCGAGGATACAACGCTTCGATTAATAAGGCGCATAATTAAAGTTTCTAGGTCAATAGATATACGTCCTTCGTTTGGATCGAACATCTGGTGATAAATGATAATATTATATATGCATAAGGATGAGTAAAACACAGTCGCAAAAAAAAACAATATTCTATTTCAAATATCAGTTTATGTTTATTTTAAAAATCAACAATGGGCTATATAAGTGACCGATCTAGACTAAGATATGAGAAATAAAGAAAACCACAGGTTTGCATAAAGTGTGCTAAAAGTTCTCTTGGTTACTAATGGTAGTAATAATCAATATTATTATCTCTTGTATTTTCTCTCTATTTAAACAAGAACAATGACTATTGAGTGTATTACGTTATCTCTCTGTTCAAGTATGACAGTAATAAAAATTTGTCAAATGTCATGTATAATCCTTCATTTACAAAATTCACTGATTTCTCGTAAGTTTTCTCACTATTATGAAACAACAACACCGAAAGCCACGTTAAATTTACTTTCAATAAATAATTGTCAAAAACATTTGCTGATTATAAGTAGCAGATAGGTCACTGAAAACATCTAGTGAGTTTCACGTATACGGTATATTTTAGTGAATCATAACTGAACTAGTAATAATTGTTTAACAATGTTTTTATGTATCTGGATTGTTTCAAGTTCATTGTCATTGAGAATGAGTGAAAGCTTAATAGAGAAGACCAGGTTTAATCATTGTATAATCACATAAAGAATGGTGTGTGAGGGTTGTGAATGTTAACGATCAACTTGTCAATAATGAAAATGAACTAATTGACTGATACTGCAGGTTTGTCGAAAATTTTCAAGTTCCAAATTAAATCATGGATTGAGTATAGTTGGGCAATCATTGAAAACACAATTATATGAACGAAGAACATTCTTTTCTATAAGTTCTTATCAGGTTCTAAAATTATAAATCCAAATTAATAATCCATAAAATTGGCCAGATTTAAGGCAGAGTGCATCATTTGAAATTGTAATATGTGAATCAACAATTGTTGTTTGTCATGTAAAAATCAAATTTTCGCACTACTGTGGAGTTCAATAGTAAAACGAAACAGCTTCTCAATGCTTTATGGTTTGAAATATTTATCTAACTGTTATCTGTGATGTAAACTATACGTTGAGTAGTCTTTAACATCATATAAGGATAACATGAGTTAATAGTTATACTTTAGAACAAGTGAAAGACTATTGTATTACAGTGATCTGAGCATTTTCCCCACTTACGCAGTAAGCATATTAATTTAAGGAAGGAAGAAAAACTATAAGCGATCAGGAAAAATAAATTGTAGATCAAGAGCCTAATGATAGACTAAGAAGAACTTGAACATATAAATAAATGTTTAAAAAAAGATATCTTAAACTGTAGGCTTTTGTATAAAACAGAGCAAGACATTATTGTAATAAACAGTACATAAAAAGCTCTTCCATTTAGAAAGAGAAAAAAATGACAAACACATAATTCAATTTTCAAGCAGTAGATAACTTTTTTCAGTGGAAATTCATGAAGACTAAATACGACTGACAACATAAAGTGGAAGCGACAATGAAGACGAAAAGTACAACAAAAACAACTAACTTACACAAATTGTAAGACGTGCCCATTTCGGCGATGAATTTTTTCTGTCGAAATCGTAACCACTGAAACGAGCATGCAGGCTGGTAACAAACTGATGATATGAACAGGAGGAAGTAGAAACAACGAGAAAAATATGGTTGTGTAAAATATTAAGAAATTATTAGGATTATTTATTTTAAGATAAAATCATATAAGCTAGTAACAACACAAACACACAAGTTTCTCAAAATAATACCAGTAAGACAGTGCGAAATTGCTGGGATGGAAGACCAAACAATTTAGCTATACAAATATATAAACATAATAAGTAAAAAGTAGAAATTGATAACGTGATGACAGGTGTACTAGTTGTGATAAGAATAATAAAGGATTGAATTAATGTTTCATAATAAGAGGGTAAATCAATGACTTGGAAAATATAGACATTCATAAAAAATTGTAGGATTATGTAATAAGAAGTGTTCGAATAATGGGACAATGAAGTGTATGTATTTGATAAAGAAAAAAGGGTGTGAGTGAAGAAAGGGTATGGATAATACTAATAAATAAAATCTTCTACTTATGATGTTTATTTATGTGATCTATCGTACTGTTATCACTGACTCATCAACTGCCTTGATTTATTTAATAATTTCTTATATGCATATAAATATTACTGTATATTAGAGTAAAGCCTTATGAGGATCTAATCGAAAACAATATTGTTCGCTTATATTTGTTATTCTAATTCACAATATGGGGATTTTTAAAATAAAATAAATAAACGACAGCAACTTCTTTATATATAAAACCACATGCGAAGTTATTCAAAAATCGATAGACAGAAAATGGATAATGATAGACATGATTCACATGAGGAAATCTTAGGAATCTCTCTCTCTCTCTATATATATATTCGTTTTTATAATAGCACGGTTCTGATTGAAAATATTTGGTAATATAGATTGTAGTAATTTTGATAAATAGATTCACCAGTTGATATAAGCTAGATTACCATTGAAAGCCTGGAAGCACTGGACAGTTTTCAATGGTGGTCTAACATGCACAAACCACCATACTGATAATAACCATGTGTTCACTAGTCACTAGCTTCAAATATGCTTCCCAGAGTTCTAGTGAAAATCCATAACCAGTGGAGTCCGATACGTCTTGGGTGGAGACAGTTATCCACTTCGGACAATAAATGAAGGGTTGAGCAAGACAATGGGGCGATCGAAATTAAACACTGTTAGATGCTCGTTCAGTGGTCTAGGGGCTCGGCGTTTGCGTGGGAGACAGAAGGCCCCGGGATCGAGTCCCGCGTGAGGGATTGTGGATGAGCACTGCCGAGGAGTCTCGTACTGGGACGAAACGGCAGTTCAGTACTTCCAGGTTTTCAATGATGTTTTAGCCTAGATTGACACAGGAATTAAACTATTAAAATTACTACAATGTCCACAAATCCCCATTCTGATAATATAAATTGTAACTCATTGCCCAAGTACAGATACAACTACTCAGCTTTGAACCACACTTTACGAGTGAAGACCAATTTTATTTTTTATTTATTTATTTGAACACATACATATTGGTACAAGAGAGCGCCAATACATATGTGCCTCACAAAACAACGAGAATGCGAAGAGAAATACAAAAAAACAAAAAAAAACTAAGGGGCGCAAAAGAAAAAGAGAGAACAATAACGAAGAGATTGGTGTAAGGTAATGTGCTAGTAATCAGGGAACGCAAAGGTACAATCGGAAGAAATCTTTCAGGTAAGGGAGACACAACCACTTTTTATGAAGAAAGTAAAAGAAGGTTACAGCAGGATCGCCATCGGCTTCTATTCTGAGCCATATCTGATAACGTCTCTAGCCACTGTGTAGCACCATCTCTCAGACCCCAACCAGGGAGTCGTGAAGGACCAACACAAGCCAGTCCTTTGCAGCTTTCTTTCATGCCACGACACCATGTCATGCACTGACCACCTTTCCGCTTCTTCCAACCAGTCCCAGAGTCGGCAAATAATGCACGACGTGGAATTCTCTGGGACGACATTCGTAGAACATGTCCAAGCCACCGAAGTCGGTGTTTCAAGATGGTGACACCAATTGAATTATCATCTCTGTGCCCGAACACACGATGCCGAGCCTCTGCATTACTGACATGGTGTTGCCACTGAATGTCAGCAATCCTTCGGAGACAGCGATGATCGAACACAGAGAGTCGTCTAACGTCCTCAACTCGGAGAGACCAGGTTTCACAAGCATAGAGCAAAACTGCTCTCACCGACGCGTTGTAGATCCGACCTTTTACAGCCAGACTAACATCACGAAGGCGCCAAAGGTGACCTTCGTGAAAGCGCTTGAAAGACAAGCGCCTTCACCATTAGATCACTGCTAAACTGAAGTAACTGATATACATGTTCATCAGTGAGTAGTAGGGACAATAGGTTGGTTAGTAGTAGTGAATATATACTCAATAAGTCTGATATACAACAAAGTGATGGCTGGATTTTGAAGAAATAATGCATGGAATTGTACTTCATATTAGCTGGCGTGGAAGTATAAGTAATGTTATCAAGAAACATGACCCCATGGAAATCATTTACCTCAGCAAATGGCATTCTTCGAATAATCAACAGTAAGTTCTGATACCTGAATATATTACACTATATTCAATTACCTAACCCTGCCTGGAGCTCCTCCGGTGTTACTGTCGATCCTAAACCTTTATGTAGTAAGGGCGGCACCATCGATAAACATGATTGATGTGATGTTGATATTAAAGCAAGAGGCGGCAAAGTAACGGTAATATCCCTGTAATCGAATACCTGGAACTTAAAACGACTGTCGTCCAACACCAAAATCAGGACCTTCAACACAAATTTTACAGGTTCTATTTTATGGAACTAAAACTTAGAGAGCTACCAGAACTATCATCATAAGAAAGTATAGGTATTTATAAATGGCTGTTTACATAAGATACTCTAGAGTTATTGGTCAGGGACCATCAACAGTAGATGAGAGCAAACAAGCTCCCATCAGAGAAGAAAATTAGAAAAAGATGTTGGGTGTGAATAGGTCTCATTTTATGGAAATAATTGAACTGAATCACAAAGCAAGCCTTATCTTGGAATTCCGAAGATCAGACGAAAAAAACCAGGCCAAAAACACATGGTACATGGACTTGGAGGCAAGCATATAAAAATGAATAGCACTTGACAAGAACTAGAAAGAACCCAGGGCAAAGCTACTTGGAGATACCTGGTTATTGACCCAGGGGTCCGAGAGGGATAGGGGGCTTAATTTACGTTAGTAACATTCAGATAATTGGATGAAAATGTAACGCCTAATTTGTTCCTAACTATATTGCAGTGTAAGCACCTTCCAAATAGATTAGTATCAAAAAAGATGGGTTGAATTTAAATTTGAAAATATTTATTTATTTGGACACATGAATATTGGTACAAGAGAACGCCAATACATATGCGCCACACAAAACAATGAGAATGCGAAGAGAAATACAAAAAAAAAAAAAAAACTAAGGGGCGCAAAAGAAAAAAAGAGAACAATAACGAAGAGATTGGTGTAAGGTAATGTGCTAGTAATCAGGGAACGCAAAGGTACAATCGGAAGAAATCTTTCAGGTAAGGGAGACACAACCACTTTTTATGAAGAAAGTAAAAGAAGGTTACAGCAGGATCGCCATCGGCTTCTATTCTGAGCCATATCTGATAACGTCTCTAGCCACTGTGTAGCACCATCTCTCAGACCCCAACCAGGGAGTCGTGAAGGACCAACACAAGCCAGTCCTTTGCAGCTTTCTTTCATGCCACGACACCATGTCATGCACTGACCACCATCCCAAACCTTTGTAAACAACGTCGTCAATTCCTTAGTCAAAAAGTCACCACCATCTTTAAAAAGAGCCGGAGGTAAGTCATCTGGGCCAGGTGATTTGTAACGCTTCAAGAGTTGGAGTTCCTTGCGGACTTCCTCCTCGTTTGGTGGATCAGTCGTCACCGGGCATGGAGGGCAGGACAGTCTGACCGATGTTGCCGGAGCAACAGGCCAGTTGAACTGCCCTTCGAAAAATTCTGCCCACCGTCCAAGATGTCGATGGATGTTAGTGATTGGCATCCCATCATCCTCGCAGATTGTTTCACTCACACCAGACTTCTTGCTGCCAGTGGCTCGGATGAGCTGGAAGAGCTTCCGGTAATTACCAGATGCAGCTGCTGCTTCCAGCTCATTAGCACGCTTCGACCACCAGGCTTCTCGGTCCTTACGCAAGCTTTGCCCAATTTCCTTACATAACATCCTTCGTTTATGGTCAAACTCACGGTCACCCGGAGTAGACCGACGGGCTTCAATGAGTTATAAGGAACCAGAAGAAACCCAGTGCTTAAAAGCGGGATGTTTCGCAAACCCACAACTGACTGTTCCCGCCATTTTCATGGCGTCATGCAATTGCAACCAATGCTCATCTATACTTTTCGGTGGAGTGGTAGCTAGCCTAGAGGCTAGCTCGGTTCGATACTTATTTGCAACAGAAGTTGCAACCAGCTTGCTAACATCAATCCGTTGGTGGTGGTCACTTCGTTGGCCACTGAAAAGTAAGGCAAGATTGGCGCAGACCAAGGCATGGTCAGAGTCCAGTCCAGTACCCATCGGCCACCTAAACGACTCTCTTCTGTGCCTAGACGCCCGACCTGAGCATTCAAGTCTCCGGCTAGTACTACAATATCTGTCGAACGCACTTTCTGGAGAAGAACAGATAACTGGTGGTAAAACTCATCCTTGATTGCATCCGGGCTGCAATCTGTCGGGGCATAGGCGGAGATGACGAAAAGACATCGTTTCTCACGCCGATTTCTTCTCACTTTGATGGAACTTTCTAATCTAACAGCATATAACCGACTGTTAATAGGGATCCAATCGACTAGTGCTGCCTCAGCTCTAGCGCTTAGTGCGACACCAACGCCTGCAAGACCAGACGAAGATGCCACAGGGTCCCCGGATAAGCGCACGTAAAACAAGCTTTTTGAAGTGACAGATGTAGAGCGAATTTGTAGTACTTCGCTAGAGTCTTGAATACGGGTCTCGGATAGACAACAAACATCAATATTAAGACTTTCCAAAGACATAGCCAGCCCTATCTGATGACCAACCTGCATAAGTGTGCGAACGTTGAAGGCAGCCAGTTTGAATGGCGCACGTGGTTTCAGAAAAACTGCTTCAGTATTCATATTCGATGGTAACATACAACTTTCAACCGGACAGTGACTCGAGAACGTTTAGATAGAGTCGGATTTCCACCAAAGACGAGCCGCTGTATAAGTATAAAAGAGGGTGAATAATGTGGGAAATAATAATAATAATAATCATAATAATAATAATAATAATAACGACAATAATAGTAATAATAATAGTATTAATAATGACAATAATAGTAATGATAATTATTTGAGTCGACTGATTGTTTTTCGGAGCGATAAAAGTAGTTGCCAAAGACATAGAGTTCATCGTTTGTGTGTGGGCTGTGATACTGCCCGGGTGCCCAAACCGAAGCAGGTGGTTTTCTTAGGGGGCCACTCCCCGAGCCTTTGACCTAAAGGTCTAACCCACAAGGCAGTGGAGCATCGTAAGGAGATGCAATCCCATGGTAGCCGGTGACCAAAGATTGGTTCATACGCCATTTGTTCCCGCAGGATACTGGAGCCCATGTGCACCATTGGTTTGTGATCCGGTTAAAGCGCCGGACATTCGCTTTTCGTCCTCTCATTTTCGTAAACAACACCCCAGCCACGAGAAGGCAATGAGTAGGACTTCCCTGGCAGAGGCTGTATACGCGCGGCCGTGTGAGAGTATTTCGAGAGGGAGAGCGGACTCACCCCACTCTCGGCCGTACCAGGGCATTCGGGGGTGAAAATAAAAAAGCTATCAACTAAACTAACAAAAATCGTAGATGAGACATAATTAACTACGTTCGCAACATTATGAACTGATCTTAATGAATTTTAATATATTCCCTTGAACATAAACGAACAAATAGTGACTGTTTTAACTATTTTTTAAAAGAACAACTTTTAAAAGTCCATTAGTATTAAAATGACTATTCTGAACCCTACGTATAGCGGAAAATTTACTGTTTGATAGGAAGAATTGAATGGTGCATCGAAAGTGAGAATTCATTTGAAAGAATGCAACGTGTTGATGTGTTATTAAGAGCAAATTAAAACCTGGATTGTGAGGTAAACAAATAGTTACGATTCACAACCTCGTACAATCCTGGAACAAGTGACAAAGTAGGAAAATAAACAAGACAAAAGAGATCATAAAACAGTCAGTTGAAATAAAATAACTGTAAAAATGTAAAACTATCCAAATGGTTATAAAATACATTTTAAGTAGCAAATGTAAGGAGAACATATCTCTAGAAAGTAGTGACCAATAATAGTTTGTAAATTATTGTAACTTATAATATCAGTGTACTAGTATTGATACAAATACTAATAAAAATGAAATACCGTTATCCGTTTGCGAGCTTCATCATGACTTATAGCATTCTCTTGTTCTATATTTCGTTCCATATTTTCTTGGATTAATTCCCGTTCATCATCTACATCTGACTGATTTAATTCAGGATCACCAGTCCATTGGATAAAATCATCAGAATTTGTACCTTTTGAAGTAGTGGTTTTATGTCCAGATCTTGAAGGATTGCCAAGAAGCATCTTTAATTTACTTGATGGAGATAATTCATTCCAAGGCCATTTACCATTATCGTCTTGTTGTTCATCGTCACCGTCATCTTTCTCACGATCTTGTCCAATTTCATGTAGTTCGGCTGCTTCAGCATCATATTCATCGTCTAAGTCTAAATCGACCAATTCATCCAGATCAGATCCATTTTTACGACGATTATTATCACCACCAGTAATATCTTCCTCTTCGGCATTTGCTTCGAGACGCCGGCGTCTGATAGCCTGGAAATATAGAGATCAAAAATCATATCTTAAAAATAGACTTTTATTTCGAGATAAGAGACCGAGATGGAGGGAGAAACAATAACTATTATAGTTGATGACAAATTGATTCATGATTATTTTTAGAAATTTGAAAATATTGACGGTCATGAGTATCTGCTAAGTCGTTACAACAATTTCTATTATTCACTACTGTATTGGCAAAAAATAAAAGTATCGAAGTCTCATTTATGAGTACGAGGTTAGATAAGGGTAATAAATTGAATTTAGTTAACTCACTAGCCAGGTACAGATCCGAGTAAATGGCTTCAAGTGTAGGACAGTGAAAATACCCAGTTGTTTAAACCGAGGTTAGGTGGAGCGGGAATCAAACCTAAGATCCAATGGCTAAAGTCTGAACGCCTTAGCCACTGAGACACCACTGCACTAGGGGTAACATTAGGATTTGAAAA